TTGCCCAGCTGGTTTTTGTGCTTGCTGTGGTCCAGTGTTTACTCACTGTGCTCCCTTCCCTCTATTTTGTAATGGTGATGTATCTCAAGTGTCATTATGTGTTGGAAGTATGTGATTTACTTTTTGATTTTGATTTTATAAGGGATTGCAGTTAAGAGATTGCATGAATCTCAGAAGAGACTTTGAACTTCAGATATTTAGATAAGTTAGAGACTGTTATATACTATGGGGACTTTTGAAGTTGGACTGAATACATTTTTGCATTATGATGTGGCTATATGCCTTTGGGGGCAAGGGAGTGGAATGCGGTAGTTTAAAGGGAAGTGGCCCCCAAATGCAGTAGCACTATTAGAGGTGTGGCTTTGTTGGTCTGTTCTTGTTGGAGGAAGTGTGTCTCAGTGGGTAGGCTTTGAGAGTTCATATATACTCAAGCTACAGCCAGTGAGACAGTCTACTTGCTGTTGCCTTCTGATCAAGATGTAGCCAGCACCACATTTGTCTGAATGCCACTGTACTCCCTGTCATGATGATCATGGACTGATCCTCTGAAATTATAAGTGAGCCACCCCAATTAAATGTTTGTAGATGAATTTCTAAACAGTCTCATTAAATAAGAAACACAGAGCCAAATACAGAGATATAAGCCGTAGAGATCAAAGCAATAACTGCCAACTAACCTTAGCTCACCACCTTGCTGTAGCTTCCCAAGTGAGCTTCTTCCTGTGTAACCTGTACCTTTATTGCCTTCCTGTTCTGCCTTCTCATTGACTTTAAGTCCAGCCACATCACTTCCTTGTCACTGCCTTTCTATACCGACTTCCAGGTCTCTATGGTTGGTACTGGGATTAAAGGTGTGTGTCACCACTCTTGGCTGTGTCCTTGAACACACAGAGACTCTGCCTGCCGTGTGATCAGATTAAGGGTGTGTGCCACCACCACCTGACTTCTGTTGGTGGCTCACTATGACCTCTGATCTCCAGGCAAACTTTATTTATTAGCATACAAATAAAATATCACATTTCAGCACAAATAAAATATCACCACAAATGTTTTTGGTTTATAAGAGTTGCCGTGGACATGGTGTCTCTTCACAGCAATAAAATGCCTAACTAAGACACTAGGTAAATGAACAGGAACTACAGAAGCAAGCATCACCAACAGAAAATAAGAGATGGAAGAGAGACGCCCAGCCATAGAAGATATAACAGAAGAAATTGATACAATCAGTCAAAGAGAATGTTAAATCTAAAAGTTCCTGTCAAAGAACATTCAGGAAACCTGGCTTTGAAAAGACCAAGCCTGAAAATAATAGAAATAGAAGAAAGAGAAGAATCTCAGCTCAAAGTCCCAGAAAATATTTTTAACTAAATCATAGAACAATGTCCTGACTTGAAGAAGATGTTTATAAAGGTACAAGAAGCTTACAGAACACCAAAAAGACTGGACCAGAAAATTAATTCCCCCTGCCACATAATAATCAAAACACTATATATACAGAACAACAACAACAAAAGAATATTAAAAGCTGCAAAAGAAAAAGGCTAACAATATATAAAGGCAGAGCTATTAGAATTACACCCAGCTTCTCAGTAGAGATTCTCAAAACCAAAAGGACCTGTACAGATGTCCTGTAGGCTCTAAGAGGCCACAGATGTCAGCCCAGTCTACTATACCTAGCAAAACTTTTAGTAACCATAGATGGAGAAAACAAGATATTTCATGACAAAGTCAAACTTAAACATCAGCTACACACAAATCCACCAATAAGAAGGTACTAGAAGGAAAACTGCACCTCAAGGAATGTTAATTACACCCACTAAAATATAGTAAATAAATAATTTCATACTAGCAAAATAAAAAGAAAGGAAGCACATTCTCTCTCTCTCTCTCTCTCTCTCTCTCTCTCTCTCTCTCTCTCTCTCTC